GGGGGGTACCGTACCAGCAGCGCATTTCATCAGCTTGTCGAACTCGTTGACGCAGGCAGGCTTCTCGATGATGGCATCGATGTCGAGGTAGAAGGAACACGCGTCCATACACGACGAGGACACGTTCTGCTCCATGCAGCACTGCGTCACGTTGTTGGTCGCCGCCTGACAGAGCACAGAGGGTGAAAGTGAGCGGTCGTCGTGCGCGAGGCGAGGGCCCTTTAATTTCGCCATCCCTTTCACTTACCACATTTCGAATCCGCACGGACACGGGCTGCGTGGACTGGCCGAAGGCGTTCTCCGCGTGACAGAAGTAGTCGCCCTCGTCGGTATCCTTGATCTTGTTGATGGTCAGTTTCATAGTCCACTTGCTCTCCTCCTGCGGTCACAAGGCAACATGTTTGAGTGGCGCTGGCGCTACCTCCCCTCCCCCGCTCTGTTTAGCTATGCAGCTAAATAAGCTTCATAGCTAATTATTTTTAGCATTTTTTTCCCCGTGCACTTACGTCTCGGACTCTGTTGACGGCGATGTTGTACTGGCCGCCCTGTATGACCGGGGCCCAGCCGGACTTGTCCTTCCAGAACAGCATCTTGGGCTCGGGCTGCGCCTCCACGGTGCACTCCAGGTCAACCGTGTCGCCGAGGACGGCCATGGTGATGCCGGCGGCGGTGATGGTCGGGCCGTCTGCGGGGGAAAGAACAACCGCACCGTGAGGCACGACATGGGCGAATAATAGCGCACGCACACTCGGCAACACTCACGGCTGATGACGATGCGCTTGGAGGCCTGCATGGGCGTGCCGTAGCCGTTGTCCGCGTAGCACGAGATCTCGTTCATGTCGCGCGTCACGTTGCTGATGACGGTCACCATGTGCCTCGTGGTCTTCTGGCGCACCAGCCGCCCGCTCAGGTAGAGCGAGATGGTGGGCGTGGGCGTGCCCATGGCGATGCACAGCACCGTCATGCTGCTGCCCTCGATCACCAGGTTCATCGGGTGCACCGTGGGTGGCTGTGGGCGGGAGGGCAAGGGTCAAGGGTCAGTGGACTGGAGCGAGGTGACGGAGTCAGGCGCGCTCGCTTCGAACACTCACCTCCACGTGCGGTGGCAGGGCGGGTTCGGTCCAGGCCAACAGCGTCTCGGACGGGAGGCTCTCGCCCGCCTGGGAGACGGCCGACACGAACATGATGTACTTGGTGTTGGGCGTGAGCTGCTCCAGGACGTGCGACGTGACCGTGGTCTCCACCACCATGAACTGGGGGTCGTCGGCCGCCTTGTGGTGCAGGCGGTAGGTGAGCTTCTCGGACGGGTGGCTGACCTCCGGGGGCTGCCAGGACACGGCCACCCAGGTGGCGGAGTGGCCCGACACCACCACGGAGTGCGGCGGCGACGTCACGCCCTTCACGGTCGTGTCTGGGCAGGGCCAAAGGCGGCAGTGAGCGGGCGGGACCAGGGCCGACGGTACGAGGTGGGTGCGCCGCGCACCGATACTCACCTGCCTTGGAGATCTTCACCAAGATGACCGCGGAGGGCAGGGAAGTGCCGTGCTGGTTCTTGGCGACCACGAAGATGTTGTAGTGCGCGTCCTTGTCCAGGCCCGTCAGCGTGATGCTCGTGTCCGTCGTATTTTTCTGTCGATGCGTATTTTAGCCGTTAACATGCTGCTGAACGCCCGACGCGTGGTCGCTCACACTGGCAGCCGGTGCTGTACCGGTTACTACTCACCCTGGTGAGAGGTGTGGTGGGCGTGGGCGAGGTGGCGTTGTCCACCTTGGAGAAGTGCACGATGTACTCGCTGGCGTTGTTGGACTCGACGGGGGCGTCCCACGACAGCGTGACGGAGCCGTCTGTCACGTCCCGCGCCTGCAGGCTGCCCACGGGGCCCGGCAGCAGCCCCGTGCCCTCCTCGAAGCACTGCACGATGTTGCCGATGAAGGGGATGCAGCGCGTGGCCGTGGCGAGGAGCGAGTCCGCCACGACGCCCGAGCACAGCGGCATGCACTCCGGGGGCACGCCGCGCCGCCCGCAGCACGGCCCGTGGTTGCGGCCGCCCGCGCCGCACCTGTGGCAGCAGAGAGACGAGCTGGGTGAGCGACGTGCGAGCGACAAGCGAGGGACACGCGAGCACCCAAGGGGCACTTCACTAAGTTCAAGCGTACACCAAGTTTTTCTAGATTGTTTTAATTTTTGCTGTTTTATTTTCTTCGTTTTTCTACTGATATCTGAAAGTGAAGCACCCCTCGCGAGCACACCAGCAACTTACCGGAGCAGCTTGCTAAACTCAGAGGCGCACACGCCGCCGAGGGCCTGGATGTCGTTCATGGAGGCGTCGTAGCTGCAGAGGGGCAGGCAGGCGGGGCTGAGGTCGGCGCTCACGCAGCAGGCCGTCAGGTTGTACACGGACGCGTCCTCGATCTGCGACTCCTCGAGCTGCACCAAGAGGGGCGTGTTTGGTTCAGGATGAGCGGCCTCGTGGACGTGCGTGTGGGCACGCCGTGACGACGGGTCGTTGGGAACCTCACCTGGCTCTTGGTGTTGAAGAGGACCCGGATTGACGGCTCGCCGGGTCCGTGGGCGTTGAGGGCCTCCAGGAACACCTCGTAGCGGGAATCCGACTGGAGACCCTCCAGGATGAAGGGCCCGTGCGTCGCCGTCTTCACGAAATAGTCTTGGGGGCCGTCGTCGGAGTCAAGTTGGCGGTAGTTGATGTAGTACTTCTTCACCTGTTAATCCAATTGCAAGTTCTGTAATTTGGGAAGGGGAGGGTTGCGCCGGCCAGGGCGGGGGAAACACATTCCTCAGTAGCAGTACACAGGGTACAGGGGCCCGATCCCCTCTCCGAATCGGGTTTATCGCCAGAAGGTATAATTCAATTTGACTCCGTTACCCTCCTCTCTACCCCGGCTCCCGCCCCGGTCCCATCGACTCCCCGGGAGGCGAAGTAGTCTCCACTACCACTGCATCGACTGCTTTGGGGTTAGTTAATTCACCCCGCCCTACTCGCTCATAGATTAACCCTTTCCCTCCCCTCCTCACCCCCCTCCCCGTCCCGCCCAACCCCCAACCCACCGTTTCTCCAAGCGTCTTGGGCTGGTCCCAGTGAACGATGGCGAAGTTGGTGTCCTCGTTTGTGACGTACACGCCCGTGGGCGCGCCGGGGAGCACGCCGTAGCCCTGCATGAGGCAGCTCGAGTACGAGTCCATGTACTGCACGCACCTGTCAGAGCCCGGACGCGTTAGTACCAGGGACGACCACACAACGGGGCAATATAACAACCACCGGCCGCTTACTTGAAGTACGTGAAGTCGATCTGCGTCACGTTGCCGGAGCACAGCTCCTGGCAGAGGTCGGGCAGGCCGCGCGCCTTGCAGCAGTTGGTGTGGTCCATGCCGTTGGCCAGGCAGCTGAAGGCGGACGCGGCCCAGGGCGCGCAGATCATGAGGTCGGGCACCTGCACCGTGGTGTGGCGGGCGGGGTCGCACAGCTTGTCCACGCAGCCGCCGCGCGAGATGTTCTTGGCCACGCAGCAGCTCTTGATGTCGGGGATCTTGGGCGAGCGAGCGATGGACGTGGGCTTGGGCGCGGACCGCGGCGACAGGGTGAGCGAGCGGATGGCGTCCGAGGGGAGCGAGGAGCCGTGCTTGTTGTACGCGGTCACCGTCACCTCGTACATCGTGAAGGGCGCAAGGTCCTTGACCTCCGCGGACAGGTCACTGGCGGGAACCTGCCGAAAAAAAATATAAGGCAGTGGGTAAAAATTTTAACTTTCCAAAA